ATATTATAGTATAAGGTAGCAGGGCATTGGGCCCTGCTACCCTATACTATAATATAATGCAATATATTATATAAGACAGAGCACTGGACTGGGATTTAGACATCTTGTAATCTATTCCAGCTCTATCATTTATATACTGTATGAGCTTGGGCAAAATACTTCATCTCTCTGTCCCTTTGCTTGTCTCTCTATTTAGACGCAAAGCTCCTTGGGGCAAAGACTGTCACTTACAAACACTGGGGCCCTAATCTTGACTGCGGCCTCTAAGCACTGCTGCAATAACAACAATAATTACACACCAAGAAATTTGTATATGGTTGCCAAGTCAAGCACACAAGAATTAGGAAATGCCAGAACTTAGATTGCCTGTGTAACCTTAATTCAGATCCCTTGGGCATATGCATTATGAGAGTATTTTTAATTACATGATTTCCTCAGAACCCTATGGAGTGCGAGCATGCTCAATGAGGACAGAATCTTCAGAGATTTTAACTGCTAAAAATCAAAGTGTTTACTGAGCATGTGCAAACTGTGATTTTTCATTGATTTATGATTTGGCCAAATCTGGGCAGATTTTCAGAGGAAGGCAAAAGGCACATCTCTGAAACAAAGCCCACCACCCCCTTGCCAAATTTTGAATCCTTGCGCCAAAGCCTGGGGGAAAATAAACCTGCTCAAAGAAAAGGTTTCCAGAATGTTTTAACAGAAGCAAAACAACATTTTCTCTAACCTTGATCTTTGAAACAACTAAAGCAGCTAAAATCCCCACCAAAAAAAAAAATGCAGTCCATGGCCAACACCTGGTAAGTAGAATTTCAGACCAAATGATTAAAGTCTGGCAAAGTTATAAGCAACTGAAAACGGAGTCTTATATTAGGAAGTGTCAGGCAAGCTTAATAATAAGGGCTGTCTCAGCCCTGCCTCTAGTAAGTACATGACACTATAGCAGCATTAGTGTTCTACACAAGAGAGCCGAAAACAACTTTTCCTATTGCCTTGCACCATGCATAGCTGTTGAAATCTGAGCTAGTGGGTCTAGTCAGAATCAGCCACTCACACTCCTTCAGGGGTAACTGACTACAGAAGATGAAACACATTGGAGAATCAGAGCTGCTAGACCTATATACACACACACATGAGCACTTTGCCCCCCTAAGGAGGCTTAGAGAGGGGGTTCACCATGAAAAAAATTCTCACTCCAGCAGCAATCAGGTAGCAAGTACATCAGGCCAACGTGGGTTCTCTTTCTTATCCTGTCAGCAGGTATTTCTCTCACACCTGTCATTGTTCTAATGGTCAAATCAGTATTGCCCCTTTTTAAATGCATCTTCTCCCAGCAGACTTCACTTACCCACTGACATTCAAAGACCTTTGTTTTTGCCGAGCCAGCAATAAAGCAAACATTAACCACTTAAGTTCCAGCCCACTTACTGCTGTGGAATTTGAGGATGTAGATCAATAGTTCATTGAAGGGATTTAAGTATGAAAACTATACCTTATACTCATCCTGTTGTTCTTAGCACATTCTGTATATAAAATCCCAAAGATCTGTATTTCAAAACTTCTTCCTTAAAGTCATACTTTGGCAAATCATAGTATTAATTGCACCTCCATCCTGTGTGGAATTCTCTACAGGATGGGGCTCCGAATTAAAGGGACTTGTGTTTTGTGGTGTTCTGAATTTACAAAAGGCACAATGTTTTCTTTTTATGTCCAGGTACCTACTGTCTATTCTCTCTGCCAGTCTGAAAGGTCTGGCAAATACATATTTAAAAGGCAAATTCACTGAATCTTAAGCTTTCCTCTACCTCTCATGAGCACACTTAAATAAAGAGGCCTCATAAGCTACCAGTCAATGCCTGCACAAAGCCCATTCTTAAGTCAGAAAAGAAGCCAGGTCCAAAAGATGCCCCTCAGAAATTAGCATCCTGAACAGCCGTTGGGCATTTAAAACACAGCTTTTTGGAAGAAAATAAATTGCCCCTATTCAAAAGCTGAAACAACATGAAATATCCAAAGGCTTCAGCTATTAATAAGACAGTTTCTTTAGGGCAGCTATAAGTTCTAACCTGAACCCATTACACCTCCTCTTACAGGCTTTTATTTGCCCAAGCCTATTGCACAAAAAAAGTTCCTCTTCCCTCCTCCCCCCTTTTCCACACAATCAGTGTTTGGGAAGGAGGCAGAAACATGTTCAGGATCAAAAGTGTCCCCCCCCCAGCCTTTAGCTTCCCCAGGGAACACAAATCTACCTGCCTCCCTTAATGCATTTACAGCTTAAAGCTTTGCAGGGCTGTTAAGTAAGAGAAGGATCCACTGGTGTTAAAGATTCAGCATTCCCATTGACTTTAATAGGAACAGAATCTAACTCTCATTAGGTTCCTTACAGGTTTCAGAGTAGCAGCCGTGCTAGTCTGTATCCGCAAAAAGAAGAAGCATTTGTTAGTCTCTACGGTGCCACAAGTACTCCTGTTCTTCTTTTTTTAGGTTCCTTACAGTTTTCAGAGTAGCAGCCGTGCTAGTCTGTATCCGCAAAAAGAAGAAGCATTTGTTAGTCTCTACGGTGCCACAAGTACTCCTGTTCTTCTTTTTTTAGGTTCCTTACAGTTAACCTAATGCATGTAATTATCAAGTACTATACTCACGCCAAGTATTCAGTTAGTGTCTGTATATACCTACTCTCCTTAGCAACTGTGAATGCATATCACTTACCTTTCACTACTCAGGGCAGATGGGTGTCCTTACTTCCTAAGTTCTTTATGCAGAGAGAAGAGTAAGCGATTGCAATTCAGAGGAACAGGTTCAATTATCCTACTGAGACCAATAATATGCTAGTGGCTACTGCTGATAGGGTAGAAGCTGTCTGAATAGGAGCACAAGCTGCAGCCTACACAACAGTGAACCAATGGGATGGGGTTTTGCCAACAGATCCTCCTATTGGGAGATGTGGGGGAGGTTGGTGGACAGGCTCATGCTGAGACTCAGCTGCCTTTAAATATGGCTGAAGCTCATCCCTCTTCTCACTTCTCCAGTAGCAGTGACTATGAAAACATCTTTCTGGGAGTTATTAACCTGCTTTGTCTGTTAATAGCTATGGCTGATGAAGAGATTGCTGCTCTAGTTGTGGACAATGGCTCTGGTATGTGCAAGGCTGGGTTTGCTGGGGATGATGCTCCCTGTGCTGTCTTCCCTGCCGTTGTGGGGTGCCCTAGGCACCAGGGTGTGATGATAGGGATGGGCTAGAAGGACAGCTATGTTGGGGATGAAGCCCAAAGTAAGTGGGGCATCCTGATGCTGAAATACACTATTGAATATGGCATTGTTACTAACTGGGATGATATGGAGAAGATTTGGCACCACACCTTCTACAATGAGCTGCGGGTGGCCCTTGAGGAACACCCAATATTGCTTAGTGAGGCTCCCCTCAATCCTAAGGCTAACAAGGAGAAGATGACTCAGATCATGTTTGAGACCTTCAACACACCAGCCATGTACGTGGCTATCCAGGCTGTGCTATCCCTCTATGCCTCTGGCCGCACCACAGGCATTGTGATGGACTCTGGTGATGGGGTTACCCACGCAGTCCCCATCTATGAGGGCTATGCCCTGCCCCATCCTATTCTCTGGCTGGACCTTTCCAGCCGGGATCTAACTGACTATCTCATGAAAATCCTGACAGAGAGGCTACAGCTTCACCACCACGGCTGAGAGGGAGATTGTGCGTGACATCCGGGAGAAGCTGTGTTATGTTGCCTTGGATTTTGAGCAGGAAATGGCCATATCTGCCACTTCCTCCTCACTAGAGAAGACCTACGAACTACCTGATGAGCAGGTAATCACCTTGGGCAATGAGAGGTTCCGCTGCCCTGAGGCCCTTTTCCAGCCAGCCTTCCTGAGCATGGAATCCTGTGGCATCCATGAGACCAACTTCAACTCTATCATGAAATGTGATGTGGACATCCGCAAGGACCTGTATGCTAATTCGGTGCTGTCCAGGGGCAGTACCATGTACCCAGGCATTGCTCTCCGGATGCAGAAAGAGATTGCTTCCCTGGCACCAAGCACCATGAAAATCAAAATCCTCGCCCCTCCTGACCGTAAATACTCTGTCTGGATTGGTGGCTCCATCCTGGCGCCTCTCTCTCCACTTTCCAACAAATGTGGATCAGCAAACTGGAGTATGATGAGTCTGGGCCATCCATTGTTCACCGCAAATGTTTCTAAAGGGACTTCCCATCAGACAACTGCATGAGAAAAATCATATCAAGCTATATTAATTCTCCTCTTTAAGGGCTCTCCTCTTAGAAGACCTAGTATCCAGTGCTACAAACTCATTTCCTTTACTTCATCAAAGAAAACAGCTTAATTGTTTGCTATTAATTTTAGAGCAGTGACTAACTCTGATAGTAAAAAGTTATATCTGGTAGAGATCTTCTTTTGTGATGCTTGTGTGAATTATGCTACTATCTTCTTTGGAGAACTTTGAACTGCACTCATGGATCAAAGCTAACATGTAAGGGTCAAAATAACTGAATTCAATGCTGAATAGTCTTACAGAGGTTATCAGCCTGTAAACAAGCACTTGTTTGGGTCCCAGAACATCTGGGTTTTTATAGATAAATGCCTAAGTGGCAAGATAATGGGTTAATGTTGCATATTTGGAGATGCTAAACATGGGTTTGCTTTTATTTTACTTTTTTTAATACTTCTGAACTATAGTTCAGAACACTGATCTTAGCTTTGACCACTAGAACAAATCAATTCCCTATCTACTGTAGCAAAAATGTCTAATTCCTAAACACCATTATACAAAAAAAATTGTAAACTGATTCTCAAGTGTGCATAATAAAAAGGCTAATCTCTAATGGTGGTCAAGAACACTTCTTTCAGAGTAGAAAGACTAGCACTTTCTTACAAGACACAAGCAGCTATATAATGGAAGGACTTTTCAATCTTTGAGAGTGGAGTTTTGCAAGTCCTTCCATAAAGCAAATGCAGCTGGACTCTATTAAATCACTTAATTATCATAGAATACCCACTTACTGCATTAAAATGTAGTTCTAAGCTTTTAAAGATCAGAGCTTGAAATGGTTCTTAGTACATTTTTAAAGGACAACAGACTGTCGTAAGGGTTTGACCTATTTAAGAACTAGCCCATTCTTCTGCAGAGAAACTGTTTAAAGAATAAGCAGAATCCTGGCACTGAAATTTCAGTTCCTTTATTGCTGGAAGGGTGGGTAGCATCCCTAACATGCTACTCTTCTTTAGGACACACAAGAATGTCTCCTAGCTCTTCCACTGTAGGGAAATTGATACCCATTCATTTCTGAATTGCTTCCAAATATTAAATATCAGATCCATAAACTAATTCTCCTTGCTACTTCATACAGTAGCTAAAACAATCTCTACCTTTTTGTAGGTACAGATCCTTCAGCCCAGCTGACTCTTAGCAAAGGGGAGATGTTCACTATGACTTACCATCATACTTAAACCAAACAGTCATTAGCGTTTCAAAGAAAGACGTGGCAATGGGGTGCTGGTAGGTGAGAAGGGAGGGCTTCTGCCATGACTTACCAATGTCACTTTAAAAAAAATAAACTTGGTACACTAACTAAAACTAGCTGCTTGCGTAACTCCCCCTGCTGCGTGGAACCCATTTGGGTATTGAAAGAAAATCAAGCAGGTGGGTCATGTTCCAGCTATTTCTCTCTCACACACACACACACACACACACACTAATATTGCTCATATGCTTAAGAGAAGGGTGTTTATTTAGTCCCTGTCATGCAACTATTTCTACAAGATGGACACCTGTGCTTGCATGGAGCTCTATTGACTCCTCCTATGGAGTCAGTTGTAGTATTGCAACATTGATAACAAACCATGCATATATTTCTTATGTATTTCAAACTACCAGTCCTGCTCCCACTAACTTAGTTTAAATACCTTATTTCAGCTGTCCAACCTGTGGGTTATTGATAACTGCTAGGGAGAGTCACTTTAAAAAAATGTGTTTGACCAAAAAAGGCCTCTTTTCAAAACAAACTTCTTGTAAAATAAAAATATGTAGCTATACCTATCTCATAGAACTGGAAGGGACCCTGAAGGGTCATTGAGTCCAGGCCCCTGCCTTCACTAGCAGCACCAATTTTGCCCCAGATCCCTAAGTGGCCCCCTCAAGGATTGAACTCTCAACCCTGGGTTTAGCAGGCCAATGCTCAAACCACTGAGCTATCCCTCCCCCCTTTGTAAAAAAAAAGCTTTCTGGTGAAACCAAAAATTGAATCTGCCTTTCTCTTCATTTCTTTCTGCAATAGAAATGTTGGGTTGGTTGGTTGTGATTTTTTTACCACTTTGCCTCTATGTAACTCTTCAAAACTTCCTTGCTTTGGGCAAGGCAAAATAGAAATCTGCCACTCTTTAAAAGTTGGAGGGCTAGAGAAATTTTGAGTAGCAAAAAGTAGAGCCACCAGTCACTTTGGTGCAGTGGGTCGCAAATGTGAGGAAAATTAGAAGCCACAAATTCAAAACACTGGGGAGAGGAGGAGGAGTCACTCAACTTCAAGAAAACAAAGGGGTTCTATTTCAAATCCTCTGGTATGAAAATATTCTGGGGCTTAAGCTTTTTGTGAAACTGCCTTTTGCTTTTGAGTGGCTCTAGTAACAATGTCCCTTGCCTTAACATTCAACCCTCGTCCCAGTACTACAGATCCCTATTCCCACCAAGAGTAGAGGATATGAACAAAAAAGGGTTTTAAAACCTCAGTAGAAGCAATATTCTGGACTATTTGCTTGATGTGAAAACTTTCCCCTTATTAAACACAGACCTAGCCTTGCTCTCTGATCGAGGCTGCTTCATCATGGTTAAACACTACATGCTATCTCAATTCAATAGAGCTGGCTAGAACACTTTCTAAAAAAAAAATCGCCATTGAAAAAAGGGCTTAAAAAAAAACTGAAAATCCTTGAAAAACTTTTAGGGTTTTAAACTTTCGTTTGTCCCCTTTCTGTCAGTCTTTCTTCCCCCTCCCTTTCCAAAAAAAAAAACCCGGGGGGGGGACGGGGGCTAGAATGGAAGAGGGAAGGAACTGTGTTTAAATTGGTCTTTTAAACTTTACAAAAAAAACTAATCTTTTCTCTGAAACGTGCAGAATAAAAATGACAGTTTTTTCCACAGGTTTCACATTTTTTGAGCAGATCTAAGCCTACTCTACACACTTTTAGGGCACTAACATTTGGGGGGCGGCGGCCGGATCTTCGGCCACCCCAGTCGGCAGCGGCATTTCGAGGGTGGGACCTTCCACCGCCTCTGTTGGGGGCGGCATTTCGGGGGCAGGACCTTCCGCTGCCTAGGGCGGCAAAAAAGCTGGCGGCACTCCTGTGCCTTATAGTAGTATACCTTATTCCTCTTCCTTTAAAGTAGATATACCAGTATAAGGCACTTTATACCAATTCAAGTGCATCCCCACAAGTAGCGGGAGAGAGGTTGAATTGCTGTAACTATAGCAGCATAAAGAAGAACAGGAGTACTTGTGGCACCTTAGAGACTAACAAATTTATTAGAGCATAAGCTTTCGTGGACTACAGCCTTAAAAGCACTAAATTTTTTGTGTGTAGATAAGCTCCTAGTCTTGCTTAATATCCTCAAAGTTCCAAGGAAAATGTGAGTCTCATGCTTGGAAACAAATATTTGGCTGACCAAAATTATTTTTGTGTTTATATTTCCAATGTTGAGTTCAAAGAAGCACTTTTCCCCACCTCTAAAATGATAATGCCTACCTAACAAGAATGTGAGTATTTATGGCTGAGATCCCC